ACCTGTACTGATGCAATCTGCTGAGCAACAGAAGTTTCACTCTGTTCATTAAAGTAGTAGCTTGGAGTTGATCTCTGTCTTGATTCAGGGTCTCTGAACACCTTCAGGGGTATTTGTGCCAGCATCCCAGCTGACAAACTGAGATGCAGAGCCATATGGAAGTGCCATCTCCTTGAAGCACCAGGACCCAGCTCAGTTTGAAAGGTTTCTTCACTTCGATTCTCCAGGACAAGACCCTACAAGACCTGCCTATTAATAAAGCAAGTCTATGATGCCTGTATGAAATTAATTGTATTTCTGCAGGCTACAAAAGTCTTACTACATTCATTTTAACAAACTCTACCGGATAGTTATGCCTGGAGAAAAATTCCCTGATAGGAAAAAAGTGTTTCTCCAACTTCAGTAGCAAATGCAAATAGCTAATTAGCTTTATCTCCATTTTGCTGTCCTGATTTTGCAATACAGCTGGCACAGAAGCAAGAATTTGTTTGCCCTGTCCAAATCTTCTTACGTACGTACAGAGCCTACAGTCATCAGGAGCAGAATCAAATCTGACTAGCGAAGATTCAGACCGTATTACTGTACCCTCTGCACTATACTTTACATGCATATTTGTGTTCGTCATCACTTCTGATGAAGAAAAGAGGAAACTGCACACACACATGACAATTTAAATTATATTTGACTCAGTTTACAAATCAAGCTGTATTCACATATTTAAGACAGATAAGAAACCTAGCAAATCCCTGCTCAAATACACATTACCAGTCCAGTGTGAATAAATCTGTTATTTTGCCTGTGGTATTTCTCCCCCAAAAAACAATGTGTATTTCAACAGTTCACCTTTACAGAGTCTATTTTAAATGCAAGTACTTCCTTGTACCAAACTAGTAAGAATAAAAGAAAGTAAGTTGGAGAAAAGGTCAGAGATTATAATGAAATATATATCAGAACACCTATTTCTGATAAGGAAGATAGTCCTGAAGGAATTAAAGTCTTACCTGATCCTTAATTGACCTCTGTGTTTTTAATTAGGAAAAAGGGAAATTAACCTAGAGCTAATTAAGGTCTCAATTCTACAAACATGCAAGTACATAATTTTGTTCACTTAAGGATTCCTCAGTGAAGTTATGCATGAGCAAATATGTTTGTAGCTTCAGGGAATAAGTCTTGGATAACTTAACCTTTTAAATACTTTCCTTTTAAGTGGCTAATCATATACACAAGCCATTCTGGATTTTAGGCTTTACATGTGAAATCTTTCTGAATTCTAACCAAATTTTGCTTTTCTTTCAGGTGGGAACAGTTACATCTGTGTTACAAAATGAGGTAATTTTAAAGAACGTGCATTTTAAGTATGTCTTTATTCATGCTCGTATGAGAAACTACAGTTTTTGGCTTAGTAATATAAAATGTAGAGATTCCTAGCAATATATTTTGACACTAACACTGGATTAATTTTCAACATGTAATAAAATCAATTTCCGTGGAAAAAACTTCTAAACATCAGTGTACATTCAAGTCGTCGCATACTGCAGTTAATATGCTACTTGAAATACAACTTTATGGAAGCTTTAAATAGAGAACTTATCTTCAGGGATGTTCTTCCTTCACCCAAACCACAACTCCAGGCTTTTCCCCTTATTGCATTCAGTGATTTGCACACATCTCCTCAAACTCTGTGGACTCATATCTGTAGTTCTATAAGCCACAACAGATGATTATGAATATAGGGAGCGAAATGGTCATTTAGGCTCTTATGAACACACCCATCCTGCTGGCCATTTCCCCTCTAGATGAGGGCTTGCTCTACACATGGCTCAGATAGAAAATAACTTTCTGCCTGCTTTCCCAAGGAAATGTTTAGACTTGCTTATCTGTGGATAAACATGCCTGCCAGACCCACTCTTACAAGTTTTGAGGCTATTGGCCAATTATAACCAAATCTGACAAAGGTTTAGAGCTTTCAGAGATATTCACTCTGACAAGAGGCAGAAAAGCAGGCAGCTGGACTGAAAGCACAGCACCATGAGGAGAGAAGCTGGAGCAGGAACTTACTGCTCTTCTATCAGGGAATCAGTCTGGAGATGCAATGCATAAGAACATAGACTTCTTTGGTCTTACTTTCTATCAAAACCCTACAATGCATTCTGTGGGTGGGAGGAATTAAAACATATTGCCTGAATAGCAGAGACACAGTTACGCACCTCTGTGTGTATGCTGCTGGTGTGAGCACGCACAGCTGCTTGTGCACACACAGCATGGCTTGAACTGATCATAAAGAATAACTGATCACACAGGAATTTCTTTACAGCTTGATGAGATGCTGACATTGTGAGCAGAGAAAAGTAAACTCAGTAATGCAGATGTAACGCATGACAAATACAGTTTAATGCAATCAAACATTATAGAGTATTATAGTTACCTAAAAATCACTTCCTTATTACAAAAAGTCAACCCTTACAGAAGCTGTAATAGAGAAACCTTTCTCCTTTCACACACTCAAAAGAACAAGATCGCTGATAAAAAGCACAGTCCAATTTTCAGATATCATCAGAATGTCACAATTTGTTGACTTTTTGGAAACCTTATCACATAGTCCTCATTACATTTTTGCTACCTCCACCAGACACAGAGTAGAAAGAGTGAAGTACTTATCAAAAGCAAGCTCAGTCTGAAACACACGCTGCTGCAGGAATTAATGAAGAGACCCATTTGGCACGTGCAACCTCAGTTCAAGAATGTTTTCTAATCACTTTTCTCCTACTTTGGCCTATCAGCAACAACACCTCCGGTTTTTTCAAGGGAGTATAAAATAGTAGTTCATATATTAAAAATAAAACAAACACAAAATCCAAATGAGTCTGTAAAATATATTTTATAATCTGCTGTACTAAGTACAACTAATTTATTTAATTCTGCTAAATATTTACATTATTTACAATATGGTGATCTATTTCACTTTGGCATGAATGATTTGAATACTGATGCCCCCATAAAATCTAACCAATTTCTTCAGTAGAATAATGACAACGTGTGTCTACCTATGCATTATTCTACCCTTGCAACTACCCCATAGGCAGGAGAAAATGCCTGTCACAAGTTTTAGGGTGACTTTCTAGTTTACTCCATATTTTATCCAAATGTTATGACCTACATGGTGTCCGTGAGACACAGACAGCCCTCACTCACAGCTCACTGCCTCAGATACTGTGTAGGTAAGGCATTACAAAGCAGTTCCTTCCCCACAGGATTTACTCACTAGGTAAATATTTTTTAGTCAGTAGTTAAGAAACAGAACAGCTCATAAGCATTCATCCAAAAAAAAAATTACTATCATTTCTTGGGAGTAGTAACGTCATTTCCCACCTGAACATCAGGTTCTGTCCCATTGTTTCCTTGCACCTGGCAATAGATATTATGTCTTACACATCGAAACTCTTGTTTTCTAAAAAACAATATACAGGGAAGAATGACAGAAACAGGCAGGAAAGATGAGACTCTGGGAACAGCCTTTGCATATCTGTCAGTTTACATTATTACCAACCAAATCCCTTTAAAAGGATTTTTAAGACCTGAAGGCTTGATGCTGCAAGAGCTCCATAAAGCAAAGCATCCTGCACATGCATCATTTCAATAGCACAAGCACAACAATTCAAATGAACTTGCTCGAGTCCTTAAAATTGTGTACCGAAGTGCTATCTTGAAGCTCCAGCATTTGTTACACTGACCCACACAGTAACAGCTCAGGGATTCACACAGAAAATAGGAGATACAGACACAACTATCCCAAAGTCCCCAGATGCACAACTGTAAATCAAGAGTAGTTTGCTGAAGCCAGGCTGGGCAGCAGGCTGTGGGAAGGCACTCATGGCCCTTCTATGGTATTTATTGTGGTGGATTCCTTGTTTTGAAACAACTGCAAAACTGTTTCATAACAAAGTTTCAACATATTAACCAGAGGATTTTCAGTTTATTATGAATTCATCATGTAAGTCTAATGTTAAAATGCTGCTTTGATTTTTCCAGTTGCTTTTAAAGCAACTTTGAAAGGCATCCACCTCTGCATATACAGCCCATGCCAGGAGGAAGGAGTGAGAGTCTGCACAGATTCTGACAAACGTGAGCCACCTCTGTGGGCAATGCCACTCTCAGTGTCCTGACTCTTAACATCAGGGTTCTAAATGATCCACTCTCAAAACCAAACAAACACGTGGCAAAATCAGTTTTCCATAAGATCAGCTTTAAACGAAGCAAGAGAGAGGATGAAAAGGAGGAGAGGAAAAACGGTGTGTTTATACGAACGTGAGTGGCACAAGAAGGAAAGAGGACCAATCCTTCACCACCAACGCTACCAGACAAAGATGTGGGTTTTGACACGGCGCAGAGTTAAAGCACAGACATCCTTGCCACGGTGTGAATGCAGAAAGTTTACCCAGGGTCAGGGGCCATCCAAGCTGTCCGTGGAAAGGGAAGATCGATACGGGCTGCAAAGACACCCGCTCCCGGACGGAGCCGCGCTGCAGATGAGCGGCTGCACGCTGAGCGCGTTCCGGGGCGTTATCCCTACATTCTTGCCCTGTCCTCACTCCGGCGTCGCGCTGTCACGACGCGGGACACACCTCGGGGTTTGTGCCCCCCCACGGCCTCCTTATCGGCCAGGCTTCCTTTAATCTGCATCCATCGGGCGGTCTCAAAGCGAGCCCGAAGTTACCGAGTGATCTACCCGGAGGGCACGCCGGCGCTCACGCCGCTCCACCGCACGTGACGGAGCTCCGCAGCTGCCCCGAACCACCGGCCCGCACCGTCGCGTCCTTTCCCACCGATTGGCCCCGTTCTCCACCATCCCCAAGTTACAAAACCACACAGATCAGCGTTCGGGGAGCGCTGGAGGCTCCCTGCACCGCCGGCCTGTGGCAAGGAGCTGCCCGAGCAGCCCCTGCCTGCTACCGAGCAGCCCCGGGGCTGCAGGGCAGCCGTCCCTTTAACGTCGTCCTTACCGCTCGTCGGCGCCGCCTCACCCGCTGCACCGCGGCCGCTCTACTTGGGTCGGGGATTTTTTTCGTTGTTCCCCTCCTCTTGCCCTCTCCAGCTCCCACTAGTGCTCGCTCAGCCCCGCGCTCCGTCGCCGAAAGCGGCCGCCGCCCCCCCGCGGGCAGCCGGCGCTCCGCCGCTGCGCCCCGTCGCCGCCCTGGGGCCCGCACCGCGGGGGCTGCACCCCCGGACCGAGGGGCGGCCGCGCGGCCCCGGCTGATGGCCCCGGCACCCAAAGGGACTTGTGGGGAGATGGAGAGAGACCCCCTAATCGGAGAGCGTAGTGACAGGACCGGGGGAACGGCTTCAAACTGAAAGGGGGCAGGTTTACCTCATATACGGGAGGAACTGCATTCTGAGGGTGGTGAGACACTGAAACAGGTTGCCCAAAGAAGCAGTGGCTACCCCATCTCTGGAGGTTGTAGCCAGGGGCCCTAAGCAGCCTGATCTAGTGGAAGCTATCCCCACCCATCTTCCAACCCAAACCATTCTCTACATTGTGGAGCATTTATAGCATCAGTCTGCTGCAAAATGTATGCTGCACCACAGTCCTCTCTATAGGTATTCCTGCTGTAGCTCATACCACACCTCACCAGCAGTCAGCACTCACAAGCACAATTGAACTTTCAGCCCTGGGTGCTCAGTATCACGTTATTGCTGCTTTGCTGGGATTGATGAGAAAATAAGTGATCAGCAGTTCTGGTCTAGTAAAAGCTTGAGACCACAGTTACGTCTGTCATAACACATGATGAAGTTTGAACTCCGAGAAAAAGGTGAGCTCAAAATGGGAATACCTGAGGCTTGACTACAGTTCTGTTTTAGTGTGCACCAGGAACACACTGAAGCAGCTCTGAAGCAGCCTCAGCACACAGTGCAAGCAGTAAGATAAAAAAAAAGCATCCCACCAGCACCCTATGTGCCAGGGCCAGACCACAACTGGGTCAAATACCGCAGCCTGAGCACCAAGTTCTCAGCACCAGCCAATTCAGACAGCAGCCCTCCTGAGCTGCTCTCTGATAACACGGGCACGCATTACCCCAGCCTCATGGGTAGCTTCTATTTCCCACACTTGGCAGAGTTAGCAGTCTGCCTAACTTTCTGGGAGAATTAATACATTCATATCCACACCAACAATCCATCTTCCTTTGGCTGAGAGCACTCCACTTGCAGAAGATAGAGAAGACGGTGTAAATGTTTTGGGGCAGCTATATATGAAAGAATGAGCAAACTAGCATCAAGTAGGGAGGAGAGCTTCTTTCAGCACACCTCTCCCTGTTCCGGACTTCAGTGCTGTAAAGAGCTAACAGCGTTGACTTTTTTATTATTATTATTATTATTTTCATGCACCTCAGTCAAAACCAAAGCCAGGAGTGATGAAATACTGTGAGAAAGGCTTATTACCAGTTGAGACAAGATGTGAAAACACTGAAAAACTGAGGACAAAACTTGCTCCAGTGAGATTTCTGGACAGCTATTTAGTAAAATCTGTGCATGCAAGTGATCATTGTGCACTTCATGTTCCACACTTTTCTGGCCTGTATCCTAGCCACAGCTCATTATAACACAGGTATATTGCCTATTGTGAGCCCTAAGTTTCTCTCTCAGAAAATACACTTCACTTTTTAATTGGTTTTTCTCTTCTGTTTGCCTGCTGCAGGAAGACAGAGACAAATAGATGTACTTGCTTTGCTGGAAAGCAGCTGAATAGCTACCCCATGCTGCCCTGGCAAGGGAAACCTAGAAACAGCTCACTGAGGTGGTGGGGAGAAAAAAAAACACCTCAGGAAGTAATAAAGAGAGGGGTGAAAGGGGAGAAGAGATAAAAATAAATAGGAAGGGAATAAAAGGAATATGCAACAGAATTGAAAAGTTGTTGTAAAATTAAATAGTTGGCAATGAGACAAGAGGTGTTAGGAACACCTTTGCTTCACACTGGAGAACTGAGAGGCTGAAAAGTGTGGTTGTATTTGAAGCACAAAAATAATTAGATATCAAGAGTACGAGACTCAAGGACTTGTGCTATATTGCTACAATGCCAGCAAGCAGCCAAAACGAAGCAGGATTTGTTTACCAATTTCCTTGAAAATATACAGCAACTCTTCAGAGAGGCATGCCCTCTAGAGCTGCTGTGAATCAGCAACCACAGAAGCTATTCAGTCCTACGCTGAGCTCTAATGAAAGCAAGAGCTTCCCCTTCACAACCTCCTACTAATCATTTCTAAATGGATCACTTCAGCCACCATTCTTTATCTCCTAATTATATCAGACCTCGTTAAAACAACACTTGAATGAAAAAAAACTTAAAATACTGAGCTACCAGTGATGATACTGCAAGGGAGGTGGTAGTATTTCTGAACAAGACACTGATTGAGTCTGCCTAGTAATTGCCTAAGTCTTCTATCATAGCTAAGGTAAACAGATGAAACCACAAAAATGCTCAAGCCTCCTGGCAAAGTTTTCAGCAAGCTTTCACCTTCCTGACCTCAAAGCACTGAGAACTACACCATTCCTCTGCGCTTCCCTCAGATGCTGTATTTTTTCAGCAGAGAACTCCCACTAAACATATGCAAATAAACCATCCAGTGGAATAACAAATATTGTGTGATCTCTTCACCTTATGTCTATGTTTAGACAAGACAACACAATCCTTCCTGTTCTATAAGCTAATGCTCTACCATTCCCCAAACAGTAGCATTCTCCCTGTCTTAGAAGGAACTACATAATAAACAAAAAAATCTGTTTGTCATTCAATGGCCCTATGTATTCCACAAAGGGGAAAAAAAAAAAAAAAAAAACCACATGCAACTGATTTATTTCCCTATCCTTAACATTTTTCTTTTTTTCTGTCCTACCAAAGTTGCAGATTTCAGCAACACAGAAAGAAAGTGTTATGATGCCGGATTAAGTAGACTTTGCTCCTCACAGTGCATACAGGAGCATACAATATTTCATAGCTTTCTTACAGTTCTGTAAGGTTATTACATTTCCAAATACCAAATTTCACTTGTTTTTGTTTACATAGATTATAGCTGATAGCTCTCTACTGTTGGTTTGCTGGAGGTATAGTGTATTTTGATAGTCAAACAATTAAACACTCCATCAGCCAGCTCAAGAAAAAGATAATTACCATATTTATTTATTTTTTCCAGGAGTTTTATCTGTCATGTGTAGTGATCATTTGTGCAATTTTCTTTTTTCATAAGCATACTATAAGTAAAACACATTAACCAAGAGAAGATCCACATATAATCTCTACACTCAAATTGTGCGTATATATATATATATATACAGCACAGTCTTATTTTGTGTTTGCTGTGCAGACACTACAAACTCAGACTTAAATGTGCTTCTTGTTACCTCCCTCTGCCATCTGAATCAAATACATAAGTGCATATGTACTACGTATGCATATGTATTACAACTGGAGTAAAACACTGAAAACTCATCTCAATATAAGGAGAGGAGCAAGAAGAAAGGGTACATGCTTCCCATGTGAAATGGTAATTGTGAGAAGGTTGGAGAACTGGAAAGAACATAAAAGGCTCTGTATTTGAAAAGATTTATTTAAGACAACAGTTCCCAAACTGAGATCCAGGGACTAACTCCCTCCTGGGGAGAGCAGCTGGCTGCCTGCCTCAGCATCTTCTACCAGCGAGAGGAGCCAGCAGTCAGCCATAACATCCTCTGCAAGTTTCAATGTGCTGGGCTCCTATCCCTATGGGTTTCTGGCACTCACAGTTCTTACTAATTTAAATGGGGTTTGAAAACTTTCAGAACTGAAGGCTGGACCTCTTTACTAAATAAGAAAGTTTATAGCGCAGTCTTTTAAGAAGATATAGAAGAAGTAGAACTTATGTCTTTCTCTAGGACAACAGCAGCAAGGAAGAATGTCCTCTGATTTATTTTTAATGTTTTAGCTTCAGTCAAAATACTCAGTCTAACTGCAGACAAAATACCACGGATTTAGGGTACATCCCAAAGCACCTATGTACACATGTTGCCTTACTGATACAAGCCGTGCACTTGAGTTCAGCAAATTTGCTCACACAAATAGCTCTTCACGTGTCTGGGCATTTCAAAGACTAGGACTTCAGACTCCATTTTTTGGTGGATTTTGTTATTGTTTTTCCAACCTTCAGCAGTATTTTATAGCTTCTGCCCTCTGAACCACTAAGTATTTTTATAATATGGATTAATCCCTCTTCCAGTTTAAAGAAACAGCTGAGATAGCAAACTTTAACAATTTCATATTCTGAACTCTAATTAGCTTAATGTAATGTTATTTGTTCAGGAGTGCTTGTCCTTTAGTCAAGTTTCAGCATAATCCTCATACAATCCCTAATTTTTTTTTCACCTTTTACATCTCATACTTCTTTGAAATATTTTTAAATGTTTTGATCTACTGAACACTTACTATGCAGCTTGTTTTGTGCTCAAGTATTTTCTTTGATCACTTCCCTGAAACCTAATCCAACAGGTGTTAATTAAGTCTGTCATCATTCTTTTATAATAGTAATTTTATTTCCCTATTACAGATTGATTTTATGCATTCTCTTCCTCTTGCATCTCCTTAATGTAGGACTCACACATTAGGTGTGCCCTATATTTACTGTTTGTTAATCCTGTACAAGTATAGATATAAACTATTCTTTTTTTCCTATACTGTAATGTTATTTAATATTAGGGAGATTTCCTCTTGGATTTAAATCCTTGAAAAGGGACAGGCTTTCTCGAGTGCGTGAGCTGAGTAATTTAGTGCAGTAACAGCAGTTCTCCCTAAACGCAGCTGCATTACCACAGAAGATGAAATTCCAGAAAGAGGGCTAGATATTCTTCAAGACATCAAAATAAGGATACAGGCTGAGACTTGAAGCTGCAATAGGAAATTCTCAGAACTGTTTATTTACTGTTATCCAGAGCACTACATGACTAATACCTGGAAAGGAGACCTTGATGGGAACACAGACAAAAAGCAGCAGAGTTCACAGAGA